CCACAAGCAATAATAGTCCACCCTCTCTGGCAGCTAGCTACTTCAAAGGTCGCGAAGGTTGCTTTTATCACATGTATCATGTCCTTTAATCTAGCCTTCTCATATAAAAAACTCCTCGTCAACCTTCAAAGCTTGAGCATAAACAATCATGACATTTTTCTCTTGTTTCATCAAAGGATTAATGTAGTCATGACCATAAATAATATATATGTAGTTCCATACTGGAACCAAAAATAGTTGAAGTAGGAGATGAGGAATCCTAAACCGGTGGTGTTGATCTTCGATACGACGGTGTTGGGGTGGATTTGCATGGTTAACACTCCAACACCCTAGTTAGTTCAGTATTCAATATGATTGTAATCAAAAGTGAATATCATAAAGTGTACATTGCCTTATGTGTAAATTAGATTTTATACCTTGGGTCAAATGGAGTGGATTTGGGTTAGATTAGGTCTTTGGCCGACCTAAAACAGTTGCCCTCAAAGCCTGTCGAGCACCAAAAGAGTTGGGAAGCCCTTAGTGGTTAAGGACGGCCTCCATAAATGTTGTTTGATGTGAATTGGAAGTGAAACGCTTGAAGTCAGTTGAAGTAGTGGGAAACCAACACATTAAATGTATTTTCATCACTAAAATGTTGCACTGCTTTCTTCTGACATGTGGGTTGACGTGACAAGCTAGGACATTACATTGCTTATAGTGGACTCGACTGCACTCGAGCTTGCTTGCATTTCCAAAGAGATATCCAGTTGTTGGTTATATAACTCATTTCCATCGTTGATATGGATTGTTCAACTATATATGCTTATAAATAGGGGGAGTTGAGCATTAAGGAAACTTTTCATAATTCTTGACATTCAAGTTCATTCATAGTCACACTTATTAGCAAACATCTTGCTTTATCCTTCCAGAAAGCGTTTCATCAGCGATTGTAGCTTATTGATCAAATTTCTACCTCTCTCTATTAATTCGTTCCATCGACCTTTCATAAACAGGTACCCTTTTCAACTCAAACTTTTACATTTCCTATTTTCTAGCTAAGATGAGTGATAGTCTTATCCACGTAGTGAGTGATTCTGAGAGAAATGTTTTTTCTACTATGGGAATGGCGGTATCCCCTATTTCTCACCTTCCTCCCCTTGCTCGTGATCACATAGACCATAAATTTATATCCTTAACTGACGATTCTGTTTATTTTGTTTCAGAAAGGGTATCTAGGAACTCCCTGGATGAGAGAGCTTATTCATTTGACTCTTTAGAGGCTCTCTTATCATATGACAATTAAAAGCCACAAACGGCGTCATATCCCGCTGAGGTCTTTATGCCCCTCTGGTTTTGATTAAGGCAGAAATACATGTTACTAAGTCGGGGAGAGAGCGTTCTAACGATTTTTCCAGGTCTAAAGAAAGACCAGTAATTGTGAACCCAACGAAGTTGAAATTAGAACCCATTTGGAGTACCATAGTATGCCAAATATAGTTTTTTTAGATCAAACCTGACATGCATTTTAAAGTTGATAAATTGTCCCAGAGAGGGTGACATTAATGGAACCCACCGATGTAGTCAAGTACGGCTAAGTAGATGCCGAACTGGTGGGTACCCTGTCCGTTATGAATATTGAAGCGGTCATAGATATTGTTGGTATCACAGTTGGCGATCCTCTAGATTGGTTGATTCTTCTCGTGGTTCTGGAAAAGAGAATATACAACGCTTTTGACGACTGCTTATTTCCACTTTATGAATGTCTATTTACCAAGATGGGATGATGGATGCCTTTCTCTGATTTTGAAGCGATCGTCCTGAAGCATTTGAAGGTTTCCCCTTCCCAACTTCATATAAGGCCTAGGCCTATATGATTTTGTTCCAATTTTGTGCATAGCATAAGTCTTAGAATCCTTCTCTTGGTCTATTCTTTGACCTGGTATATATGGTATGCACTTTTCAAGACGGCGTCCGAGACCAGACCTTATTACTTTCCACTCGGATGTTCCTTGGTTCAGACCTACATTCCTGGTTTCAAGGCCTTGGATATGAATAAGGGTTTGGCCTCGACAAAGTGCCTTCTTTCGGGCAAGGAATAAGAGAATTGATACTTATGCCATTGTGAGTGTGGTCGGCTGGCCGGAGAGGAAAGAGATCTTTGGTGAGGACAAAGTGTTGTAGTTTTTTGTTAACATGTGTGATTGCATCTTGCAAATAACATGGATCAATAGAATGTGATCTACGACCTTGCTAATGTCTCTTTCCTTCGTATACCTACCATTCTCCTGTCCCAACTTTTTCACACTCATGAGGAAGTTGTTATTGTATCGACGAAGGATATGTCCTTCGTCTAAAACCTTTCTAAGGTTGAGAATATGAAGCTCTTTTCTAGGTCACCTTCAACATGTATCAAACTTCTTCTTTATTCTATCTGGTTTCTGTTGGCATGCTGTCGCTACTGCGAAAATCGGCGTCGGCTGACAGAAGAGTCGCCACCGTGCGTTATTTATCCCAACGGAGGGAAAGGAAACGCTCGAAGTAAACCTCGCAAAAAAAACAGGGAAAGGTATGGTCATCGCAACCAAAACCTGGGTTCGGGAGTCGGTTACGCAAGGGGAAGGTATTAGCACCCCTCACGTCCGTCGTACTCGACGGGATCCACGCTTGCTTGGGTTGTCTAAAGGATGCAAAACAATCTATCTACGGCTGCTAAATCTAAACGGAAGGGAATTGACTCGATAGAGCGTCGCACTCTATGCCTACGTATTCTCAAGAGAGAAAGTCAGAGTCAACGTAGTTCGGGACTACAGGGAAATTGGCTCGCCAAGACCTCGCGTCTTGTGCCTACGTACTTCCACACTGCATGAAAGATCAGAGCTTTACGTAGTTCAGGCTAAATACGGCTAAACAAAACATTCTCACACAGCAGTGAGAAAATAAACTGGTTTCAAAGGTACGGGAACCTATGGGCAAAACTATGGTTTGGTCTCAAATGCACTCGGGCAAGAGAGAAAAAGGGTTACAATTAATCGTCAACGGGAAAGTCTCGATCGCACAGCAACGAGAGAACAAAGGTTAGTTGTTAGTGTGCTCGCTAGGATATCGCATCCTATGCCTACATATCCTCGTCTGGTACGAGGAATCAGAGCAGCTGTAGTTCGGCTACTTCGGGACCACAGCTCAAATCTCGTTTTATTAACATTCTGAAAAATGATTACAATGCTTGAATACTGAAAATAAATCTCCTAGGAAATACTATCCTGTCCTATCCTGAAAAATCGAATGGAAAATAGCCCCCTAACAAGTGGGCTTCTAAACTATCCTAAAATCGTAAAATAAACTCTATGAAAAACCATACTCTAAAAATATTATCTATACTAATATTTTTTCAATATTTCTCTTCCATTTTCTCTTTCAATATTTTTCCTCTCTTTTTTCTATTTCTTTTTTATTCAAAATATTTTTCATATTTTTCTGTATTTTTCTATATATTTTTCTATATATTTTTCTGTATCCAACATCTACCCTAAAAATAACCAATAAAATCCAGAAAAATCACAATAATTTCCCGAGGGAACAAAATAAGCACCGAACGACACATAACACTGCGAGAGCGCACCAAAATAGCCGGTAAACATAAACGGGCACCGAAATATCCCAAAAATACGATTCTACCTATCCAAACTGATAAAAGACACCTGAGACACGAGACGAGAGCTGTGATCCCAATAAAATCAAAACAAATGAAAAAATGCACTGTATGCAATATGCAGATGCGAATGCGATTATGCGTCGAAACCTCGAGCCAGATACGAGACCCGGTTGGTCAAATTTTGGGGTGCAACACATACAATATGTTTTTGTTGTTGATAATCCTTCCGAGGAGAGAGAATATTTGGAACGGAAAGTGTGATGCTATAGAGAAGTAACTCTTAGCTTTCCAAAAGAAGTTAGTTAACTTGTAGGAAAAAGTTAAGCTTGTCGAAGCTTTGCAAGAAGAGACAAAGATATATGGCTCTCCTTCAACCTTAGCTGCCTGGATCAGCGAGCTAGAGTCCTCCCTTGAGTCGGAGAAAAAACGACGTTAAGAAACTTTAAAGGTTGTTGCCAAGATGAATCGCAATGTGGAGGAGTATCGGAAGAAACTTCGGCTAGAAGCAGATGCCCATGTTGAGGCCTCAGAGGCTCTTGAGGGTGAGGTTGTCGATTTGAGGGAGAAGTTCCATGATTCTCTTCACTGATCTATACATGGCGCCTTTAGAGTCTGCGATCAAATTGTGAAACATGCAAAGGGATTTCGCCCTGAAGTTACTATTCTGGTTGAGGAGTTACACCCCTTTAAGGCTACTCTAGAGGGGGGTTATGCGGTGATCCAGGTGCTTCGACTCAGAGTGCTGAAGTTTGATCGTTTTTTTCTTCTTTTTATTGTTTTTCTTTTCTCTTATCATGTTGTTTCTTAACTATGACAATTAATATTTACATAAAATTATTTTTTTATCTCAATAAATTCTAATTGTTCCTAAATAAGTCTTTAGCAACTAATTTATCTCAATAAATTATGACTAATTGCAAGTTATTGCGGGGTTTGAGCTTACTCATTATGCCTGCAATTTAAATTTTGTTTGCTTCATAAACCATATAAACCAAAACAAAGTTTTCCTTAAATCCCATAAGGCCCAAAAGCGCTTATATAAATTGATTTAAGTCTGTTTTATCTTACTTAGAAATTAAGGATCCACATGAATTACATAATTACACGGCATTATGCTAGATTATAGAGATCCAATCATTTTAAGAGCTTCCCAAAGTGCCACATAGTCCACATTTTTAACCACAAAGTTTTGGTAGTGGCAACATTGCTATGGACAAAATTAACACCAACTTGTGGCTGCAATTTCATGCCGCAAACACAGAAAAAGAACAAAGCACACTCATCATACACACACATATAACACACAATACAAAAAACATAATTCAAATTCATTCAAGGAATCAAGCTGGTGATTACTCAAGAATCATAAATGGGTCTTGGGACTTTGCCATTGACCTCTCCTTATTACTCCACTTTCACTTCAAAATCAGGACCAGTACATAACAATACCAATAACTACAATAGAACCAGAAAATTCATAGTTTCAGCTAAACAAGAGAAGGAAGAAGATAAGAACAAGCAATCTTTCTTCACAAGTGTAACTGATGCTCTTGATTTTGCTCAACCGAGATCCGAACAAGATGCTCAGCTTATAGCAGATGCCAGAGACGCCACAAAATCCGGAGAAAAGATGAGCAAAGAACAGGTACATAATAAGATAATCAAATTTCTTCATCTTTTAACCTTTATGATTCTCCTTATATAAATTATTTATATTTATGATTCGTAATTAATGCAGTATGGTGCTCTAAGAAGGAAAATTGGTGGAACATATAAGGACTTTTTCAAGTCCTATGTTGAAGGTATAGCAATTGAATAACCAACAATTTTCATTTGATACAAAAATGTTTGGTTTAGAAATAAAACTGAAACGCTGTTGTTCTTGTTGTGCTGAGCAGTGGATGGGGCATATGTTGAAGAGGGTTGGGTAGACAAAACTTGCAAAGTGTGCAAGAAGGATACTAAGGGTGAAGCAAGACAAGTGGATAAGCTTGGAAGATATGTTCATGTAGCATGTGCAGAGAAGGCCAAAACTGGAAATTTCTTTACGAGATTGTTTTCTTTAGGATCATGATATGGTGTTGTAAGTTGTAGTGAACAAGAGACTTTTCTCATTGTTTGGTCAATACAAAGATTGAAAAATTATAGTATAGTTTTCCTCATTGGCTTAATGAATTTCTCTGATCTTAACCATTCTAGTTTTTATTTATTTTTATCGTAATATCATCATTGTTCGGTACGTTGTTTTGGGCTTTTGGAGCAAGCTCCTCTAGGCCTTTGTCCTAAATTATTAGGGAATTTCATAATTTATTTTATATATTATTGATATGAAAATATAAAAATATTTTCAAATTTCAAAGATACATCTCTGAACGTGACATGAGTACATAGAATTATGATTTAACATATCATAAGTATATAGAATTATGACTTAACGTTAAAAAACTCTGGAGATATATCTTCAAAAGTATTTAGGAGATGATTCTCCAGACACTATTATAGTTTAAATTGCATCAGAAAGTTTCTCATTCCTCATTTCTAAAAGAACATCAAATTTTCTCAATCTCTCTCAAAATTTTATTCCATCAATCAAGTCCAAAATCAAACAACCGAGATCAAAGGTTTTTCAATCAACTACAACAAAGACATCATCCAACATATTTAGACAAGTTTTTTGAGTTTTTATGTAAATGAATAGAAAATGATGATTTTATGTATAAAAAAAAAGAGAGTATAAATTGCATGAATAGTAGTTTATACATACTCTAATATATATTTGTTGGTTAAAAATAATGATCAAACCGTTATTTTTTGGGTTTGTATGTCTGCATTGCCGCCATTGAAGGACCTAGAGAGTTGTAGAAATTTCCGGAGATGCGTCTCTGAAATTTCTGAACGTTTGGATTCACATTACTCGGATATGCATCTCCATAAATTATCAGTCTGCTTTAATTTTTGTTGTTGCTTTTATTGATTATATGGTTGCTTGTACCAATTGCCTGATTTACTTACAAGCATTATGATTGATAGAGACGATACACTGAGACACAGGAGGGTTGCACAACATGCATCAGTGCAGAAAGAGAATAGTCAGGTTTTAGAGGCACATGTTCACTCTAGCCATGCAAAGGCATTTGCTTCTGAGTAGGGGTGGCAAAACGAGTTCGACCCGTTGGGTATACCCGTTTTGCCCGCACTTTAGTGTAGGGCAGACCAAGGGTTTAGGCTCTCACCCTTTATAGTGTTTCTCCCCCCCCCCCCCCTCCCCCGCCCCATTTTCTTCGTAGGCTTTTGCAGGGACAAGCATTTACATAAACTTTAATGTTTTTAAGGCTTAAAAGGTACAGCGCATGCAGGTTTTTCCCGCTCGCCCTCAATTTGTTGTGGGGGCGGACCTAGGTTTTAGCCCTACATCCTCAACTATGACTGCCTCGCCCCCCGTTTTTGTGGGGCGGGCCTAAATGGGTCAGACATGTCTGTTTGCCACCCCTACTTCAGGGGCTCTTGCTTCTCCATTTTCTTCTTTCCGTAGGAGACGGGTTTCACCTATCGACGCGTCATTCCTTCCACCCTCCCACGGGAGACAAGTTTCGCCTATTCAGACGCTAGAGGTACCCGAGTCATCGGTGGTACCTGAGGTACCAATGCCACCAACTACTGATGATGTTTCTGAACCAGTGCCACATATGGCTGCTGAGATTGTTGAGTTAGTGCCACATCTGGATGGTTAGGCTGCTGAGGATGATGAGTTAGAGCCACCTCAGACATTTGAAGGATGCTCTGTAAAGTTGTCACTATTGCCTGTGTACCCAAACCATAGACATATTTGGGACAAAGATGTAATATTAGTTGGATTCATTCTTTTTAATTTACGTTTATTATTATATTACAAGTTTTTGACATTGTTTTACTTTTTTGCAAGTTCTGTGATCCGCTGAAGTTTATTAACCAATGAAAGAAGATTACTGGCCTGCCTAAGCCGAACGCGGAGTGGTTTCAAGCAGCTTTGTCCCTATCTGGGATAAAGGACTTATGCATAATCGGTTGTATTACGGTCAACCACTGGATGTTCAATGTATTTGTGGAGAGATGACACACCGAGACCTCGTCATTTAATCTCGTGGTTGGTAAGATGTTTATCACACTAGACGATGTGTCGTGTTTGTTGCATCTTCCGGTCAGGAGGAAACTTATAGATCATGGGAGGATTAGCAGAGACGAGTGTTAGCTTGGATTTTTAACAAAGGAAAAACCTCAGCAAATAAGGGCAAAGCTGAAAAGTCTTGGTTCGTCCAAAATTTGGACTTAGTGAAATTTCCAGATGTTGCAAGAGACATTTCGACTAAGAAATATCATCGACCATGTAGTCCTTGCGACAAAGGAAAATTGGTCGACAAGGCAGTTATTTGGGTGCATAATGTCACATTCGAATATCAATAACGGCCTGAAGGTTTCCCTCTGAAGAGACACGTTGAGAACGCACAAGGACATGCTGCATGCAAAACTTCACATGATGAACTCTGAAGATAGAAACGTTTTGGAGTAGTTTTTTTATACTTGTATATATAGGAGTTCATTATGTTGAATTCAGGGGTATTCATTGTACTACTAAATCTCACTAAAAACTCAAAGTACCAATGTTTAGAGAAACAAGTAAATGGCTGGGAGAATGTAATAATAAGTGAATAACCAACTTTTAATCTTGCACCCAATATTTGTTCTTCCCCAAGATTCAAGAACTCGAAGGTCTAAACTCTAAATCTTTAGTGAGTTTTGATTTGTATCTAGAACTCTAGGGAATTTAATTTTTATTTTAATACTATGTGTAAACAATGTAATACTTTGGGAAAATAATGTAATTTTTTTTTTAAAAAGAAATAATATTACCCTTTGGTTTTCAAGATAAACCGAAATATAATATACGCTAGTTTAAAAAAAAATAAAAGTGTTGATGTTGGGGTTTGAACTCATATGCATATAACTTTACCTCTCATTTTTAGTTCCACCGAACTGATAAGTGGTGAGTTTTCATGTCGCCCTTCGTTACCTCGCTTCTTTAGCCGAGTCGGGGTATTATGCATTTCGCGTCCGAGGTAAAAATTATTTTTTTTGTAATAATGGAAGCCACGCTAAGGTCCCACTTTGTGGTCGACTTGTTATTTTTCTGGATAAAACCATCCACGGACTGCTGTTTCTCTACAATAGATTGGCATATTTGACTAAAGAAGGGTTCAAAGTCCAACATGAATGGAATTTTTGACTCAGGCAATTTTTAACTAGCAAGTTGCTTTAGTAACTTTATGATGTATGACTCTGGAGAGGAATCTTATTCAAGGATTTGAAAGAGGTTAGCCCTATGGGTATAAACCTTCAGTTATTCGACCAGAGGGTACTGAATCTTCATTAAGGCTACTATCAGCAACAAAATAACTTGAGGAGCGTTTGACAACACTCATGCCATGAATCTTTACAACCTTCTTAAAGCCTCAACAGGGTTCTATGTTTTAATAACAATGATCTTCTCTCGATTGAGGGAAACATTGAATGAAGATTTTTTGATAGGTTGGTGAGTGACGGTAGCATCCTCAAATGACGTGGTCGCACCCGGTTGTAATTTGGCATCTAAATTATCTGCTCCATTATTGTTTTCCTCCTTCAATTTAGGATCAATCCCCTCAAGGTTTTTATTATTTTTAGAATGTGTTTCCTCTGAGTCCCTAGAGCTCACAAAATCCCCAAATTCCTTTGAGATAGCATTTGTCTTATCCTTCTCATAAATTATTAGGCCTCCAGTCAAATCTTCATCATCTTCAAGATGATTGGAAGCATCATTTTTAGGGAGTGGTATAGGACTATTTTCTAGTTCAGAAACATCCAGGTGATCAACATCTTCGATCACCACATTTCTTTCTTGGCCTTAGGATCATGGTTCCCAATTGTAGTCAGATTCATGAATGAACTGGGAGGAGTATTCCATTCGAAGCCATATATGGTGGGAGTTTTGGGATATTTGACGACCAGAGGGTCTCCCTGAAAACAAGAAAGAAATTGGACTTGTTAAGATGGCTAAAAGAAGAAAAAAAAAGTAAGAGTGAATTTTCGTCGAGAAGTCCTCTACTTGCCAAGGTTCAAGTAAAAGAGTCACCATAATATATTTTCTCTAAAACAACATTTCCCACTAGTGTGGGGAGAAAGTTTGGTTGAATTTCAACATTACTCCTTTCGATAGGAACAAAATCTTTATCTTGAACTGCTGGCTTGGAAACAGTGCTAATACTCAAAAAGGAGATCTTTTTAAGTTTTCTCTTTTTCTTCTTAGCTGGCCTAGTTTCAATGTCGACAACAGTAGAAGGTTGGGGTGTATGAGTTCCCGGTGGATTGGTTTTTAAAGGCAATTTAATGTCATCTTCTTCTTCTATGATCTGAGTTTGATGAAAGAAGAAGGGAAATGATTCGAATAACATCATGGATGAGCCATAATTAAGAGGATATCATAAAATGCAGTCTCAAATCTGAGGATCTTTCAACACTTCAGTAGGTGTTTCCTTTTAAGTATTCTTTTATGGAAGTGGAACGATTGTAGTGGTTGCATGCTTCCGACCCTAGAAGAAGGATAGATAAGTCAAATAACTCGTAACTTTTTATAGTAGAAAAGAAAAAAAATTTGAAGGATACATGTGGTGCTACCTCCTCTTCGAAAATGACACCGATTTGTTGTTTTACTTTCCCTTTGGGGGCAGAAGTAGTTGAAATGGTTCCCCTTTTCTGACGCTGTGAAAATGATATATACAAACTTGCATTGCTTTGTTATCAAGTAAGAAAAATAAGAGTTGAGCTTGACATTACCTGTGACTCGGACCAATTTACCCACTGACAATAGTGTCATAAGGGATAACTGCAAAGAAAAGTAAGATGTGTAAGCAAAAGAGAAACAAAGTGTAATCCAACGGACATTTATACCTCACTATTAGCAATATCGCATAGAACTTCGACGTGATTGATGTTAACATGAAGGTTCCCTTGATGGTTGTGTACGTCAAACTTGGTCGAAACCACTCTCTAGGCATGTTTTTT